ACTTACACCCAAGAATAATTTATCTGAATTTCTAAATGATATCGAACCTATTTATGGTAACGTATGTTCTAATGATAGCAATTTTACTCAATAAAAAACAAATTCCCGTGATTTTTTCGCTTCAGTTGAGTAAGAATAATTGATTATAGATCAAAACTCCTTCTTCTCGCTTCAATTGAGTAAGAATAATTGATTTGGATTTCTAAATGATATTGAGCTTGTTTATAGTAACGGATATTGTAGATTATAGTAATCTCATTCAGTAAAAAGTAAATTCACGTGATTCTGGATAAAAGTAAAAGCAAAGTAATAATTATACAGTTGACAAATGTTGAATAGTAATTATATAGGGATTAGATCAGGTGCGAAGATAACATCCTATGCGGAAGTGCAAATAACACAAAAGGACGCACCTAACGTTAAACATTAAAATGGCGCACCTTAACTGCCTAAACCACGCACTTTAAGCTCACAGACAACGCACCATAAGAACACAAACCATGCACCTAAAATTTTAAAATGACTCACCTTAAGTTTCAACAAATGACGCACATTAATCATATAAATCACACACCTTAAGAAGTAAACCACACACCTAAAGCTGTAGACAGATGCACCTTAAGTTTCAACAACTGACGCACCTTAAGCACACACTCCATGCACCTTAAGAAGGAAAACAACACATCTTAAGAAGTAAAAATCGAACTCGAAAAAAAATTGAACTGAAAATCGAAACAACACATTTAAATTTCCCAAGAATAAGTTATCTAAATTTCTAAATGATATCGAACCTATTTATGGTAACGTATATTCTAATGATAGCAATTTTACTCAATAAAAAAACAAATTCACATGATTCTTGTCTAGAACTTATCTATACTATAATTAAAAATAAAATGTTTCTTTGTGTTTTCCCGCCCAAACTCTTCGACCCAAACAATTAGTAATTAATAATAAATAATTTTTTAATTAAGGAATAATAATAATAATAATAATAATAATAATAATAATAATAATAATAATAATAATAATAACAATAATAATATGGAAAAGGGGATGCACTGGGAAGGTATCTAAACGCCAAAGGAAGCGGAGGCCCTTAGTATTCGCGAAGTGTAGAGTTGAATGAAAGGATTATGTCTTGATCATCTTGATGTTGAAACCAATACTTAGCAAGATTATTATTCTTTTAAAAACTACCTCTTTTTTGTTATAAATGTCTTCAAAACATTCAGATTTATCATTAAATTGGTAGGGCTTCCAAGTCCTTTCTTCGGATAATGGTGACCTGCAAGACGAATTCTTGCCCCAATGAAGAAGGCATAAACTCACAGATGCACTTGTCATTTTCTTGAACAAAGTTCCATTTACATAACCTTCGCCATCCTCCATACAACCATGTTCGCCCATCATTCCATGTCTTTACATATGTGTTCCATTTTTTACCTTTCTTATCACACATGATCACATTTGCAGGCAATTCAATATTGTGATCCATAATGACTTCAATCGGTATATACTGCAAATTAAATTAAAATTACGTAATTGAGATCGAAACAAGATCAAAATGCCAACAAAATAAGTGCACAAACCACGCACATTAAGCACACAACCAAAGCACCATAAGAACACAAATCATGCACCTAAAATTTTAAAATGACTCGCCTTAAGTTTCAACAAATGACGCACTTTAATCATACAAATCACACACCTTATGAAGTAAAACCACAAACTTAAATCTTTAGACAAACGCAACTTAAATTTCAACAACCGATGCACCTTAAACACACAGACCACGCACCTTAAGAATGAAAACAACACATCTTAAGAAGTAAAAATCGAAATAAAAATAAAATTGAATTGAAAATCGAAACATTCACTCCTAAAATTTAAATTTCGAAATAATAATTTATCTGAAATTCTAAATGATATCGAACCTACTTATGGTAACGTATATTCTAGTGATAGCGATGTTGGTCCCGATAGAGTGTAGTGAGAGTCTAGAGGGGGGGGGGGGTGAATAGATTCTTTTCGTGTTTTGCCCTAAAAACCACCTTTCGGTGTTTTGGCGCAGCGGAAATGTCAAATTCGATTATTTGCTTTGCACGAGTTTATGTTGTAAAGAAAACTTTCGGTAACAGTAATGAGGTCAATATGATGCAGAAATGAAAAGCGTAGGTAAAAAGATAGAGAGACGAGAGATTTTATAGTGGTTCGGCTAACGTTGCCTACTCCACTCTTCTTCCACAACTTATGGAAGGATTGCACTATCACTTGTTAGTACAATTACACAAAGACTTCCTTGATCACTAAGCTAGACAGCCTTCGTAGGTTTTTCAACTCCTCGAGTTTACTCCGCCTCTATCAACTTCTTCTCCAGAGTTGAGGTTGGTAGAAAATGATTTCTGATTTCTCCAACTTGATGAAGTCTTGACTGTGTGAGATGATTGCTTCGTACAAATGACAAGACTTCTTTAAGGTGTAAGATGATGATCAAAGAACTTTTTCAAATATCTTAGCACCTTAACACTGGTTCACAAAAGCTTGAGAGAGCTGAGAGTGTTTTAAGAGCTTTTGCATATATTGGTCGAGTGAATGGAACCAGCACCTTCTTAGTTGATGAAGGTGGGTTTATATAGGTGATGAAAATTCATCCGTTGGAGGGAGATGAAATTTTCGAACCTTTTAACCAGTGGATAAGGACCGGGGAGCTTCATGCATTAAATGCTCCATTAATGAGGTTGTACCATGTAGCCGTTGAAGGTATGGAAGGCATTAGGGTTTAGTCCTTTAGCTCCAGGAGATGGTACATCTTCATTTAATGCTCCTTGGTAAACGTGTCCCACAAGTTGAGGTCCTTATTTTCCTAGGATGTTGTCAAATCAGACAGACAAAACATTCTTCTCGTTGTTGAGGAGAAGGAATGCTTGGTGAGATATGACTTTAATAAATCTGTCCTTTCGAGGTAGTTGACAACTCCTTATTGAATCTCGTTGTTGTCTATCATGCCTTGTGTCTTCTTTCGTCTTGGAGACCCTATCAACTAGACATAACTCATTTTCGTGTGTTTGTCTAGCTTAACACGAATTACAGGAGAGTTATGGCAACTCTCGTCTAGGACGAAAGCAGAGATCTAAAAAGCTAATAGTTAGGGGTCTACTTTCTACATTACATTGGTATCATCAAAATCTTAATACAAGGTTCCTAACAATTTCCCCCTTTTTGATGATGCCAAAACCTATACTCTTCTTATAAGGCTGATAAAGATTCCATAAAGAATTTTTCTATTATAAAAGCAGCCATACTTGAGAGTGTACAAGTCTTTTCTAGGATGAAAGCATTACTAAATAAGACAAGGACAGATAACTCAGACAAGTGACACGAGATGTGTGACAATGAGAGTTTCATATTAAGATGGTGAGTATTACAAAAACTTTATAATGAAAGCAGAGCGAAAGAATATCTTACATTTCCAAAAGTTTTGACTTCTGTTGTTCAGCTTCCTTATGTTCGAGGTCATCCCTTTCCTTTTGTTGTTTGAGCATTCTAGTGAAGTCGATTTCCTCATTAATCCTTTTTCTGAAGATCTTTATCGGATTTGTTTTGACAAGATCTTCATGTCTTCCTTTGATGTTCAAACTTGTGTAGTTATTGTAGGCTTCACGAATGTTTCTTCCTTCGACTATTCCAGCTTTCCACCACGAGATCATTTAAAACGAGTTCATTCCTTCTTGATAACTTTTTCCCGACTCAGTGTGCACTTTGAAAGCTGCATTGTGAATGACACCTTGTGGAGAGTCTTTGGTTACATTTGAAAGGTCTTCAATCAGCTTCTTTATTCTTTCTCTTTCCTTTGATTCATCCTCTCTTCTTTTGAGTTCTTCTTCATGTTTCTTCCATAGCTCTCTGTTTTCTCTTTTGATCCTTTCGTTTTGGGTGCTTATGTGATCTTGCCTTGTATGATTGTCCTTTGTCTTGAGCCAGACAGGAACATTGCAACCCTCAAAACGTTTACCACTTCCTTCTTCATAGGGTACAAAGTCCACAAAGTTTCCTATGCCATCCATAGTTACTTTGTTGTTATTCATGAGTCTCTGCCTTAGGTTCGTCTGTTCTCTCTTGGAGAGACCTGTGAAGATGTACTTGGCTTCAGAACCAAAAGATAGGCGAGGCTTGATTGATCTGGATTGATATCGACCATGGTATCTTGGCTTTGAGGAATGGTGACCACGGGACCTGGATGGTGGTTGGGACGGATTTGTGTTTCTTCGGCCAGAGTCTCTTGGTGTCCGAGAAGGAGAATGTCGTGCTTTTGGAGATTCCCTTGGAGACCGATCTTTCGTGTTATCTCTCAGATGATCATCATCATTATCCTTGTCGTCGTTGTTTCACTTTTCCCCCTTTTTGGCATCATCGGCACAGGTGGTAGAAGGAACAATCGAAAGCTTATTCACTGCAACCAAGATGTCCTGGGTACATCCGAGAATCTGAAGAGCATATTCTCCCAGTTGGTAGGAATTATCTTGTGAAGTGTCTATCTTCATGCAGGCCAAGTCAACACGCTCTTTGAGACTGAAATGAGGATGTTTGAGTTCGTGTTGCTGCCGTGCAACTGTGTTGACGGAGGTATGAAGCTCATGAAGCTTCTTTGCAATACGCTCAAGGAACTTGTGATCTGATTGAGTTTGTTGAGGCGGTTGAGGCTGTTCTGGAGGTGAAGGCCGAGATTGAGATTGGGCAGCCATTAGATGATCTACCTTCTTGCATAAGTCTTCTAACACTTTTGTGTCCTTTTGCCGAAGAACTAAATATTGCAGATGAATGTTCTCGGCTGTATGAACAGTTTCTCTCATGTGGTTCATGATAGTCCGTGGGGACTCTGGAGTTGATTCTTCTTCAATGTTAGTTTGCGATGTGTCCATTTGTTCATCTTGAGGTGGTGCTTCCCTTTTGCCACCACTTGCTGAGCTGAGGAGAATAGGTGAGGCTTCCATTTTTCCCTAAGTTGCTTCTTCACGTTTGATTGGAGTCTCGTCCATGGGTAGAATATGCGGTACAATTGCACGAGACATATCTTCGGGATGTTCATTTGAAATCTGTTGAGCTTGGTGTGATGCTTCCTTCGTGTCATCACTGTCAGAGGGCAACTTTCTAAGTGGAGATCTTTGAGGAAAGGTATCATAATCAGGACCGATCAATATTGGATCACTGTCATAAGCCGGATCAGCTCCTTGGACTCCTACATTACCCAAATCATCATCGTTGTCATTGTCATCATCATTATCATCATGCTCATCATCTGCATCTTCGACATCATCATCATCATTATCTTCATCTTCCTCATTCATGTCACTTTCGTCTTCCTCAATTTATCGTCCATGCTCATCTTTTGAGCCACTGACATTGCAGTGTGGATCATTCTGATGGTCTTTCTCTAGAGTGGTTTTGATTTTTGATAGCAACAAAGCATAGCGGAGTTGCTTCAGTTCTTCTTCAACTGCCGGATCCAACGGTGGCTTGTTGAGTTCAATGCAGAGTGGGGCTTTGTCTTTTCCAAGAGTGCGATTGGTCATCTTGTAGGAGAACACTCGTCTTATTTCTTCAAGACGGAGTGCTTTGGAGACATCATCTGTCCCGATCCATTTCAGGGCAAATTGTTCTTCGTCTAGCATGGCTTCAAAGGTTTCAATGAATGCACTTAATGGGGCTGTGCACCACTTTTGCCACTGCAAAACTCGTTGATAATCACTTTCAATGGACTCTCGGAGCACTTGATCTCGTGATGGTGGTGGAACTGTTGCTTTGGGAATTGGTGCTGATACTTTTGGAATAGTTGGAGTAGCTACCGGCACTACAGCTGTCTCGTCTACCAATGCAGGTTCTTGTGTCAGAATTACCTGCTCTGCATTAGTAGGTTCTTGTGGCAGAGACGGAACTTCAATCAACGCATCAGTCACTTCTTTCGTCTTTTCTGGTGAACCAGGTTCTTGTGGAAGACTTAAGCGACTGACCTTCATTTCCACATCAGCAAGTTCTTGTGGATGAGGGACTGGAGAGGAAATATGACCAATATCTGGTACTTGATGATTAGAAAGTCTGTCTGGAGAAACAACTTTCGGTTGATCTTCCCCCTGGAGAGGTGCTTTTTCCGTGCTTTCTTCCCCCTGAGGAGGTGCTTCTCTCGCGTCTATTACTTTCGGTGTAGTATCTTTCTTTGGGAAATGCTTTGATTTGATAGGAGAACGAAAGTGACCCTTTTTGTCAAGTCTTGATAGAGTCAGATTGTCTTCTTCGGAAGAGTCTTTCACAACTATTGTTTCTGGTGGTGGAGATTTTGGAGGTGGGGTTGTACTCTTCTTCTTTTGATGAGATTTTGGAGGTGTTGGCGATGGTTGATCATCATCATTTCTCTTTATCTTATCCCGAGAGGAGCGTTTTTCTTTCTTTTGTCGTTTTGGCTTAGGTTGATCATGTTCGGATGCCTTTGGCGTTCTTGACTTCCGTTTGGCTTTAACCAACTCAACGGGAATCCCCAGTTCCAGTGCTTTCTGCTTGTCATAACCAGATGGTTTCTGCTTCATATGGCAAGCTTTCGGTCCTGGCCAAATGCCTGGTCGCATTAAAACTCCTTTAGTGACAAGAAGATGGCTTACCATAAAACCATACCCTAGTTTCTTGGCGATGTCTCCTGGACTCTTCCTGTGGTAGGTGATGGTATGAACAAGATTGTTGAAAATGATCTTCGACCAGTCAACCTTAAGTTCATTAAGAAAGGCATGCAGCATCTTTAGTTTCTCCTTTGTCACATCATCGGTGCCTGAAGTCTTATGATCAACAACCTTGTTGAAGATGTCAACGGTAAATTCATAATTCAGCCGAAACCACTTCTTCTTTAATGGCCACGTGATTTCTGTCTTCGAAGGAGCTTGGTTGTTCTTGATGGAATCATAGAAATCTTCTGGATCGTAGTGGTAATAAGTAAGATTGGACTTGTAAGAATCATCTCTTTGTGGAAACCCGTACGTGGCTCGAATGTCTTCCGAAGTGAGGACCACTTGATGATTGTGGACTCTGGAAGTGATGGTCAGAGAGTCGAAAGATATGGATGCATTCATGTAGAACTGTGTTACATCGATGGGATACCATATTGTGTAGAGATGTGTACAATCCGGATTCCATGAGCAATCGTATGATATCTTCGCCAAATCTTCGATCTAACACATACTCGAGAAATCCATGGGCATCCCACATGCTGCCTCCCACAATAAATGGCACTCTGGATTCAATAAATCGCATGTCTTCGGTTGGAAAGCTTGGGATTTCCAGGGTAGAAGGGATTTCTGGTTCTTTTTCAGAAGATGTAGCTTGTGTATTTTCTGCCATTGTAGAGTGTCTGAGAGAGTAAGTTTGATAGCTTCGTCTGGGAGGAAATGAAAAAGGTGAGGTATGATGTGTAGAGAGTTCAAGTAGGGTTTTATTTGGTTCCAGGTAACTGAATATGGGTAACCCATATGGGGGAGTGATAAGATCGTGTGCAGATCAATTTTGATCATTCCATATTTAATGTGGAGAGAGAAAAATACTCGAGTATCTGTGGGTGCATTTAATGCACGTCAATTCATGTGTCAGTCATGGTGGGGTAGTGGACCATATTTCTCGGCCACAGGATCCCCATGATGAATTATCTGACGGTTCAGATGAGACATAAGCAGATGAGGCTTATCAAGCACGGTTCGAACCCGAAGGAGGATGAATTTGTCATAATGTAAGATCTGTAAGACAAATAAAGTCAAACAAATCTCTTATCATACTAAGGAAATGCTTTTCCCGAGAGATTTAATACTAAGAAAATGCCAGTCCTCTCCTTTCTAGATAGATGTGAACGAGACAAGTAAAGTTTCGTTCACTTCTTTTAAGAAAAATAGAAACACGGAGATTTTATTATTCAAAATAACGAGAGATAGAAATACATAAGATAAGATACATAATCCGAAGGATTAGTTTTTCTTTCTCTCGATTTTCTTGACCTCAGATGGCTCAGCTTTTGCCTTTTTCAGATCTCCCCACATACGCTTGTACCATTTTCCGGTACGTGGATAGTTAGAGCCCGAAGATGATTCAGGTTCTTCCCCCTTAGCCTTTGCCTCATTTTCGAACTCTTTCTTCAGATAAGTCATGTAGTCCGAATCGTGGTACTTGCTGAGATCCTTAGGGGATTTTGGGAGGGATGAAATAGATTCTCTCTGAGGCTCTTCAACAATGAACCCAGCCATATCATCATACAGAGATGATTCTTCAGTATCAGACGAGATTTCCAACGGTGCGTGAAGGCTATTGCCTGGGTACATGTCTCCTTGCTCTTCTCTTATTTGCCTGGCGAGTTCACGGAGCTTACTGGAATCTCCCCTTGTGAAGGGCTTTTTAGGAGCCATTTGTGAGGATGAGAATGGTAGAGAAAAGCAAGATATAGTCCCCTTTTATAGGCAGATTCAGAAGAGATAACGTTGTGAAACTGCTTTCAGCATTCAATGCTGCAATCAATGACCATGTATTTCTTCAACCGACCATTAATGGTGTAGAAGACTTTGAATGGACATTTTCAAGAATGTCATAATTTTAAGGTCAGAGATATGATTTCAAGATGTGTGAATTAGTAATAAACTTATGTATGATGCTCTAAGACATAATTCCATCTTTGACCTGAGAGAGATAATCTGACATAAAAGTAACAAGGTCAAGAGAGTAATTTAGTAAAGGCACAATTAAACTGGAAACTTCATTAAAGAGATTCATGCAGATGTACTTCAAACCATACAAAGAAGACAAACAATATTCAGATAAAGCGGTAAGGCGTGTGAAGTTCCAGACGGGAAAACTCATCAGTCACATCGGGCAGATTAGCCCTGTTTGAATATTCGTCTAGTTCCTCAAGTGTGAGGGTAGGCGTGTTTGGGTTGTTGGGTGACTGAGAGTGAGCCAAAGTGAAGTCTTCGTAGGTTTCATCACTTTGTGGAACTTCAGGAATGGGGTACCAACGAAAGTTAGGTGGATTTGTTGAGTGCTTGTTAGCGCTCTTCAACATCATTATCCTTTCGTTGGCAAGTCGTTTTGCTTGTTCCAAGTAATATGCCTTCTTCGCCAGAGATTCATTGACAATATTGTCCAGTGCCTCCTTTTCCTTAAGATTTGCTGTGTTGGGCATGGAGTATGTCACATTGACCCTTTCACCGTCTTCCTCCAGCTTGATAATGGTAGCATCGGGCAAACTTGCTTTCTGGAGATGATGGTTTAAACGAATGGCCCTTCTTTCGGCTTCATCTTATGGAGTGGCCGAGTTTGGCATAGTGAACGTGACGTGGACCTTATCACCATCTTCTACTATCTTTGTTATTGTAGCACTTGTCAATTTGCCTGCTTCTTGAAGATGATGGATAGCTCGAATCTCGGCTTCATCCATTTTCTCTTTACCCTTATCCATACCTGCAAGTTTTTTTTTTTTTATTTTTTTTTTAGGGGCTGAGTGTGAGTGAAACTTATGTGGAGAGAAATCAATTTATAGACATAATGTTGGCGTGTAGAACTTGTTAAAATATTTTAGATACTGATTCACGTTTCGTGTTAGTCACGCTATCAGAAATATATGGAAAGATAACGTTGTTTATTAGAGAAGCGCATCATTTTGAAGATAACAACACCACAACTTATCACTGTGTCCTAATAGTGTCGTTTAGGCCTTCCTTTTCTTGCTGCTTGCGGTGGATTTGAGAGGAGATGGTATCTTAGGAGGAGTGCTCGAGGGTGAGTAGTCAAGACTATCACTTCGTTCCAGCACGCTGTCTTCCTTGACATACCCTATAGGATTGCCAACAGAGTGGAATGACTCCCTTGACTCATTTTCCGTTGGGTCACGGAGAATGCTCTGTATGTATTGTGAATGTTCAAGAAATTTGTTTAACTCTTGCTTGGTCACAAGTGGGTCATTGAAGATTTCGCTTTTCTCCTCTTGTGCCTCAGTGATTGTTCTCTCGCTTCCCGTACTCATATCTGCACACACAAAGACAAACACTAGAATTTTTGTTAGTTATGAAGGCTTAATTACGTTATGTACCTCATTTTATAGAGATCTTTGCGTGTGAGGATGGATCGAATCTTTTGAATATCGAGAATGAGAATCTTTGCAGATTTGATTCTCGCTGCTTTATGTCATTTCAATCATTCCTATTTCATGCCTTAGAGAGGAGAATCTTGCTTCACTTAAAGGTTTCGTGAGTATGTCCGCAAGCTGATCATCAGTGTTAACATACTCAAGAGATATGTCTTTCCTCTTGACATGATCACGAATAAAATG